AACAAACAAAAAACAAACTAATTCACTAAATTCTTGTATTTCTCTCTTTGTTTTACGAACTGTCCTATTGTTATCATCATTTATTTTTATCAGGGTGCATACAGAGATTACTGATGTTGAGATAAAGAATAAAATGGCCTCGAAGTACACAGTTTTAAGAAGCAATTACTCCCTAGTGGCACAGCGGTATGTCTGCGAACTTACAACGCTAGAAACCGGGTTTCGATACCCGTGGTGGGCAAAGCACAGACAGCCCACCGTGTATCTTTGCGCTCAATTCCAAACAAACAAACCAAGAAGCAATTAATGTTAACTCATGGAATGGAATTATATAAATAAGTACCATTTCGGTTTCATAAACGTTTTGTTTATTACTTAAACTTTTTTATTTTCACGGACGTACAAATTAAGTACACTTTCAACTACCACAAATGCCCAATATTATATATATATATATTATGGGCTTAGAGCTTGACAGAATTCGTTTCCTCACCTGGATATGCCTAAAGACGATTTTTGCAGGTTGATGAAGGTTGGCCAAGCCATGGCGCCGAACCGACGCTGCCAGAACCCTCGAGTTGATTATGTGCGAGCTATTACTTTGCTTGTCTGCCGAAAGGGGTCGACTGAATATTCCACGATCTGCTGCGGTTAAGAAGTTTTCCAACTTGTTATAAGCTAAAAATACAATGTCCACAACTCCTGGAGAAAAACAAAAACGTATACATACCGTAAATGATTTAGCAAAAAGCGTTTTAACATTTCAAATAAATCATTTCATCAAAAGTAATTATTTCTTTCTAGTTATAGTACACTATTGCTTTTGTCGTAAATAAAATAGCTACTAACTACACCCTTTCATAACTAGGACAGAATACATCTTTAATCGGGTATATTCAATTTATTTTCTTGATTTCCGTGCAGTTTCTGCGTGTATTTAACCATATCGATGTTGACCAGATGTCGCAAGGTCTTTAACATGGGTTAAAGTACACGCTCCAAGTTTCAAGCTAGCATATTCACGATTCTGTATGGATTTCTAAGAAGTTAGCTTATTCAAATAGGTATCACGGGAACCTGTAAAGGGTCATCTTAAGGGCCTTATGGGCCTGGAGCTGAAAAAATCATGATGGGTCTATTCTACCGTGTCTTTTAAACAATAAAGCAAAGAAACTTACATTTGATATTTTAGTGTTAACAAAACTTATACAATTGTTCACAATTACATCACCTTACCATTTTGTGCAACGCCAAGTAGAGCTTGTGTAGGAACAATGATAAAATCCTCCATTCTTGTCCATTCAGATCCCTCCACGTCCTTAGAGGTCGGGAATCGAACCTCGGATATCGACCATGTTTGGATTCGTCGCACCGATACCACTAATTATTAAAAAGAAAATACCTATTCATGTTCTCCTTTAAAATATCATAAAACTTCATATCAAATACTATCTCTGTAAGTTAAAACTTCACATCAAATACTATGTCTGCAAGTTAAAACTTCACGTCAAATACTATCTCTGTAAGTTAAAACTTCACATCAAATACTATCTCTGTAAGTTAAAACTTCACATCAAATACTATCTCTGTAAGTTAAAACTTCACATCAAATAC